TGCAACACTGCAGCTCATGAATGTGTTTGCAATAATTTTAGGAGTGTGACAGTGAAATGATAAAATAATAATAAAATAAATTCTCGTGGACTAACAGTTGACTTGCACTGTTGCCTCTTGGCACACACTAAAACAGCTTTAGAGTTGTATTTTCATCTATTTATACTTCCTAAGTGGTCATATTGACCCTGCTTCAAACCCAGTGACACCCTAAAGAGAAAGGATTAACTTTGATCGTATTGCCCATTGGTGGAGTAAAATATTACAGTATGGAAATATCATTGAGGGCTATCTTCAATCATTTGTTCCAAACAAGGTTCCAAAACCTTTGAGGTGTGGAGAAAAAAGGAAGCTGCCAGTCTTTCATTGTATTTCACAGACACCACACTTTCAATCTGTAAAAAGAACAAAATGGATGATGACACACTGTGATGTTCCCTGGCTCCTGTTAATGTCAGTGCCATGGAGCTGTAGTCATGTTTCAGAGTTGTTCGGTGTTGGACTGACGCCGCATCGCAACCCTGAGACTCGTCCCACAGGATCGACAGCACTTCTGTCATTGATCTGAGTGGCTGTGGAAAACAGATTGTGTTCGACTTGTTTGATCCATTTGATTGTCAGGGAACATAAACTGTTCTGTAGAGAGGATGTGGATACATTTTACCTAAAGTGTTTTTCCACTGAAAACATAACAGGGTCCTGTACCAGCTGGAGAGCCTTCTGTCAGGCATCAAGAGACATTATATTTCACTTAGAATATTGCTCTTCCATTTATAGTGCAGTGAAGATTTGCATATATTATTGTTTGATTCAAACTGAGCCATCAATTGTCAGGATTATGTATCTGTTCTCTGGACTGTTCTGAGTGTTGGTGCAAGACTGTATGTTGGCATGTCTGTGTGTTTGTGCAGCCTAGATTCTCCTGCAGTACAGAGTGTATTTATAGAACGACCCCCTCAAATCCCAACCATAGCAAAGTTGCCTGCACAGACATGGAGGCAATATGCTTCCCAATCGTGCTTCTGTGTGACAGTAGAAAAGAAACGGCATACTGAGGGGAAAGCATAATGTGTCTTTGCTGTTTTTCTATGGACTGTTGCACACACTGCTGTATATCCTTTTTTTTGAGAAAAAAGTTTAGCATTCACTATCTCAAAATTATAGATATTCAAAGTGTAAAATGGCTGTTAAATCATGAGCCACCCTAGTGCAGTAACTGATTTTGAACTTTCATTGGACAACATATCATATTGAAATTCCATTGCTATTTTAATAACTGGAAGTATTATCCCTGTTTAATATAGGCATATTAATATATGAAAGTATTCTCTTGTAGCTTCAGAAAAAATATAGCACTAAATTTTATGCTACAAATTGTATCAAAAATAATGAGGAAAAAGCTGGAAGCTGTGCAGACACACACAAACACAGATACTCAGATTCCCTGTGTTAAATGCCTTATGCTTGCACAAACAGACACTGCATTTTCTTTACATCCTTGTACCGGTAAACACCTTAAACACTTTATGTTCCCTCTCTCATTTTAACTCACTGATTCTGTCTCTCTCTCTCTCAAACACACACACAGTCTTTCTTATCAGTCACACTGAGCTCATTGCAGAGCCCCAAGGCAATAACGCTGAGTGTGAACGGTGTGTTAGCAACCCCAAATTCTCTGCTTCTGAGCTCCTTACATAACACATAACCACCCAGCGCTCCAGAGGTTGCCAGCAACAAAACGCAGGAGTGTGTACATACAGTACATGTATGCATCAATCCGTACTTTAGAGAAATCCACAAGACTTGTGGAAAGAAATTCCGCATGTTGTACAGCTAAATAAAATACAGCGTGACCCCATATTTTACTTGCATGATGGGATATTATTGACCGAGCAGTTTCACTAGGTGCTTGATCATAGCGGCCCATATCTGTAGCCATCGAACACGTGCACAGTTATTTCTGTCATGGAACATTTTGACAGAACATTAATGAGCCGCCAAACTGTTGCACATTTAGTGAATCATTATTAAATGAAGAATGTGCCTCCATGTGGAAAGGCTCGAACACATCATGCCATTAATCATGAAATTATACACACGACCAACCATTTTAAATGTCAGTATTGTACTGCAGACACGATTCTCCAGGCCAGTATAGTGCTCTGCGTGTGTGTGTGTGTGTGTTTGTTTTTTCGTATACCAGATAATGAATGCAGGTTTGTCACCATGATAAAATGAGGTTTAATATTCTGGATGGAAAGTCATCTGTTATTTGGCCTACCCCATTACCTCCAGGTCCTGAATCCAAAGGCTGTAAGGGGAAGGGTGCCCTGCCCTCTGTTGCAACTCATTTAAATGCTAAAGATTATTTTCTCCCATCCTCATTTTATGCAGTCATATCCTCTACTTCCTCAATTTCTTTAACTCTTTCTTCATTTTGCTCTCATTTTCCCCCTCACTTTCCTTCTCTTCCCACCTACAATTCAATAATATGAAAATAGCAAAGGTTATTCCACTGTATTGATTTGATTTGATTTATTCTTTCAAACATGCAGAACAAATGACATCAACACACACATAATTACACAGATCCCACCAATGCTAATCCAGAATCAGTTTGCTTATACCTAGTACATGTTTGAATGGAGTAGGAAGAAGTCAGACTTATCCAGTCCTACCCCATAACATCATCTTATACAAAAAATTTCATGCATCATTGGCTGCAAGCAGTATCTCTACATAGGTGATTCATTTCTGCACCAGACAAGTAAAACACAGAAAATATAAAACAGTGTTTCCTTCCTGCATTCTTGATTCAATCTCTTATTCTTGCATGTATCTTGAATGACACATACATTTATATTTATATTTAAACTCCACAATTCTAGTACTGTTTTTCATGTCCACACTTAAATTATTCCATAATTTGACCCCACTTATAGAAACACAAAATTTATTTTGGTTGTACGTATAGCATGAATTTTTAAATTTAACTGACCCCTTAAATTATATCCCCCCTCCCTTTCATCAAATAACTTATGGATTCCACCAGGTAATAAGTCGTTCCTGGCTTTATACATAAACACAGCAGTCTTATATCCCACTAAATCAAAGAATTTTAACAATTTAGACTGTATGAAAACTACCTTTGTGTGATCCCTGTACCCCAACTTATGCACAATTCTAATCACAGATTAGATACAGATTAGATACATTAATTGACAAAACTAACATC